CTCTCTCGTCAGGATCGAAAAGCAAATCGAAAAGTCGCCGGAGAAAGACGGGCAGAGAGAGAGAGGCAGGAGATATTCGGCTGTGCCCAGCCTTACGGTAGGCAGGATCGGATTTTAGCGCGCTCAGCACGCGCTCCCGAGCTCTCGAGTCTCGGCGGGTTTCAACTTTTACTTTCAGCTCTTACACAACGCGGCCCGCTCTTGCACGGCGTACGTAAGCGGCGAGCGCGCGCAGCGAGTCGCTCGGTCTCCTGTCCGCCACGGGGCTTCTTCTCCTTCTTCTTCCTCTTCCTCTCGTTCTCTCCTCCTCTTGTTTTTTTTTATCACCTCTCTCCTCTTCGCCTCTTCGCGGCCGCTCTTTCACTTCCTTGTACCTCTCCGCCCCTTGCGCACAGCTGTCCGACGATCGGTCGGCGGGGGGGATCAGTGAACCCTTCGAAAGCTCGAAATCTCGACGCGCGCGTGACTTTCAGGAGCGCCGCGTCCAAGGAGTCGGAACACTCTCCTCCTTCCGCATCGGGCCAAGTCCGATGTGTCCAAGTGCCGCGCGCGTATAAAAAAAAACACGTGCACACACGCGGGCGAGCACGTGTCACAGGCGGTGGTCCTCCCTCTCGTCCGCCGAATATGTCATTCGCGGGACGTCGGGGATGAAGAGCGCGAGAAACGGTTGCGCTCCGCGCTGCGGTGGGACCGCCGCCGACTCGCGCTCGACGTGGTTCCCGGCGTGACGGCGAGGCGATCTCTTATCGGCCACCGACGGGGTATTCCCGCGGGATGTTGCCTCCGGAAGGAGAAGAATGGGCACTCGTGTCGCACCACGTGTCGCCGCGGCGATACAGCGAGCGGAATGCTCGGGCGATGCTGTCGGTTTTCCACGTGATGGTCCGCGATCGCACTCCCGCACGCTACAAGCGCTGACACTCTCGATCGGAATCAACGTATACTTTTCGCGCGTATGTTTACCGTCGCTTCTCTCTCTCTGTCTGTCCGTCTACTTCCCTCTCTCTATTCCTTCCGTCCTTTTCTCTTTCTCTCTCTCTGTCTCTCTCTCTCTCTTTCTCTCTCTCTTCTCGCCGGAGGACTTCTTCAGGGAGAGAGGGATCTCTTCCGGTCTCCGCGGTGTGTCTCACTGCTTCTCGCTCCGTCGTAACTTTTGCGCAAAGCCGGGGCCCTCTCTCACTCTCTACTACCTCTCTCTTCCTCTCTTTCTCTCTCTGCCGCTCTCACCCTCCCTCTCGCTCGCGCTCCTTCTTTCTCTGTCTGGTCCTAGGTGAGCGTGAAGAGAGGTAGAGTCGGGCGGTCGCCAGGAGGCGGCGGTGGTGGTGGTGGTTGCCGGCTCGTTGGTAGTGGTGGCACATCAGCGATACTCTAACGTGTGTCCAATGAGTGCGACGACGGACAACGGCGGAGCGGCGGTAGTGGCGATGATGATGACGATGACGACGACAACGACGACGACAACGACGACGAAGACGACGACGACGACGACGACGACGATGACGACGGTGGTAGTAGCAAACGGCGGGCGGTGGTGGTAAAAGTTGAGGCCAGGTGGGCCCCAAGCGGGCTCCTACGGGCGAGGGTCCGGTAAAGGGTTGGAGGGTTCCGAAAAAGCGCGTCTCTCTCCGTCGAGCACTCCCGACGATATACTCCGCGCGCCGAGAGAGGAGACCGTCGCGGGGTTCGTAAGTTCGTTTGTAAAGAGGAACCGTAGTATTGGTCCTTCGTCGTGAGCCGCGGCACCTCTTCCATCTCTCTCTCTCGCTCGCTCGCTCGCTCGCGCGCGCCGAACCCCTCCCGCTCTCCTCCCCGTCGCGCCGTCGCCGCTTTTCTCTCTTTCTCTCGCTCTCACCCCCTCTCCCTCGCACTCACCTCTGCATCCGTCCATCTCCCGTTCTCTCCCTTTCTTGCTCTTTCTCCCCCACCACGGCCGCTCCACCTACCACCACCTTCCTCCACTCTTCCTTTCCCCACTGGCGTGCTCTCACTATTGCACATTACAAATAGCTCTCTTGCCTAGGCCTCGTCGGTGAGGTGTCGCTCCCTCTGTGTCGGTGTCTCACGTCCGCGTGTGCGAAACGGGTACACGTGTGCCGCACAGTGCACATGCACAGGCGCGTCGCGATAAGAGTCGCACACTCTCCGGTCTCTGTCCGTTTTATTGCAGCGCGATTCTCTCTTGCCGTCTTCCTGCCGCTCTCCTTCTCTCTTT